ATACTAAACACAAGCTAAACAAAGCCTCGATGAATTCAGGGTGGGAACAGAATCTCTGTGTTAAACAATCAGTCACACAGAATCACACAGAAAGGTTGATGCTGGAAGGGACCTCTGGATTCAGGTCATCTGGCCCAACCCCCCTGCCCAAGCAGGGCCACCTAGAGCTGGTTGCCCAGGACCGTATCCAGATGGCTTCTGAATATCTCCAAGGATGGAAACTCCACAACATCTCTGGGAAACCCCTGCCAATGCTTGGTCACCCTCACAGTAAATAAGTGTTTCCTCATGTTCACAGGCAACCTCCTGTGTTCACTTTGTGCCCATTGCCTTGTGTCCTGTCACTGGGCACCACCAAACAGAGCCTGGCTCTGTCTTCTTCACACACTCCTGTAAGGTATTTACAGACATTGATAAGATCCCCTCTCAGCCTTCTTTTCTGAAGCCTGAACATTCCCAGCTCTTTCAGCCTCTCCTCACAGGAGAGATGCTCCAGTCCATCATCTTCATGGCCCTTCACTGTGCTCTCTCCCATACGTCCATGTCTCTGTTGTACTGGGGCACCCAGCACTGGACACAGCACTCCAGGTGTGCCCTCACCAGCACCAAGCAGAGGGGAAGGATCACCTCCCCCGACCTGCTGGCTATACCTTGCCTAACGCAGCCCAGGATAACGTTGACCTTCTTTGCAGCAAGGGCACATTGCTGGTTCATGTTCAACTTGGTGTCCACCAGGACACACAGTTCCTTTTCTGTCAAGCTGCTTTTCACCTGGGTAGCCCCCAGAATATACTGGTGTCTGGAGTTGTTCCTCCCCAGGTGCTGGACTTTCTGTGTCTCTTTGTTGAACTTGATGAGGTTCCATCGACCCGCTTCTCCAGCCTGTTGAGGCCCCTCTGGATGGCAGCATGACCTTCTGGCAAATCAGCCGCTCCTCCCAGTTTGGTGCCACCTGCAGACTTGCTGAGGGTACGCTCTGCCTCACCATCCAGATCATTAATGAAGATGCTGAAGAGGACTGGATCCAGTATTGAACCCTGGCTTACTTTTTTAAACCATAAATCACAGATGGTTACTGTAAGCCCACCTTCTGACTGACTTACAGCAAGGCCTAATGGAGGGCAGCGTGGCACAATGGAAGAGACCCACAGTGTCAAGTTTGAGCAATAATCAGCAACTTGTATTTAATATACATGCTGGTAGCTAACTTGTATTTTACTTTTAGAAATTACGAGGTATAAGAAAGGGATGTAAGGTGCTGCTGCTCACTGCGTAAGAGGTATCTTGCCTCTGCTTGAGTCAGTTGCTCATCAAACTTAGAACAAAGCACAAGCTAAAAGTCACTGCCTCTTTCAGGATGCTAGGGCAACAATTTTGCACTGCTCAGTATATGCCTAGACACTGCCTTCAGCATCTATAACATACACTTATGATCTTAGAAAGACACAAGCTCCCACGACCACCTGAACTGTGCTGTGCATACCAGACCAGGAGCAAAACTGAATAATTACACTGTGCACACCAGCCCAGGAACAGAATGGAATAATAACGATCCAATAGATTACCATACCATGCGCTCTCTTTAATGCTTGTTGCAACTGTAAATAAAAATCCTTCCTCTTTCTTGTTTAAAAATGAAAGAACCGAGAAAACAGATTAGCAAGTCATTAAGGTCACTGTTATAATCTGAGATTAATAATACCTCCCCCATTATTATTATTCCAAATAAGCACTTGCCTATGTTGACAGTGGTTGCCCGGAATTCACCTAACTCCCTTCCATCAGGTCGACAGTTCTCTTTCTAAACAAAAATTACAAAGTTCAAATTAGAAAACATATTTTATTAAATAACACACTAATATTTATGCTACAGGAGCTCATATTCAATAGCATTCTCTTCCTTTTAGCAGAAATATGCAGCTACAAAATGCTAGGGAAAACTCAATCACATTCTAGCCAGTTTTTCATAAATTGATACACAGTTTGTGGTTGTAGGCCTAAAAAACTCTAATTTATTATAATTTATTTAGAAAATAAATATAACAATAGGTTGATTGTCGCAAGGGTAAGTACTACAGGATAGATTCAGAGCATCATCCAAGAACAAATACTTATTGATACATTCAAATTGGAGTTTCTAACTGTCTGCATTGTTTAGAATTTGTAGACAATTCCACTCCCCCATCCCCACCTACTGGAGCTCTTAAAATTAAATTAAAAAAAAAAAGAAACAAACCACCCCCCAAAAAACCCTCAGCATTCAAATACTGTCAGTTAGAAGCTGTACAATACCTGAACCTTAAGTTAGAAATTGCACCAATTCACCATCATGTTAGATCCAAATTATTTGTCACGATTTCAAGCTTCTCAAAAGCAAAGATTTTTGGTGCAATTATGAGAAACAAAACTGGCTGCAATAATACTGGACCCATTTCTAAGTCAATACTACCTTAGTAATGGATAGACTCATTTCATACACCAAAAAGTCAGTGGTTTTCCTTCGCAGTTATGGTGAGCACGGTTAGCAGCAATATTCTCTGTTATTTATTTTTAGTAGCATCTAAAAGCCAGGTCTGACATAATTTTGCAATAGACAAAAACCTGCATTACCATCTTGGTCAAATTTAACTCACATTCTTATTGAGGCCAACAGAAGCATTTACTCAAGCTGAACAGGGACACAACCTGCTGCAGCATCAGTGCCCCAGACAGATGGAGAAACATGTTCTGAAGCATATGACCATTTTTCCCCTGCTCAGTAGATTTTTTGGTTTTCCCTTATAGTTTCAGGTTTCCATACAGAGAAGTTAGAAAACCAGAAGAAAGCAAGAAAAAATTGATTACAAGCAATTTATACATGTGTGTCATGTTTTACTCACCAAAAATCTTCTGTAATATTCCAATGGCTCCACTGTTCTAAAACAAATAGAAAGAGAAGTTCACATGCAAGCTCCCAACTAGGTAAGAGATAGCAAAAAAGATAAGCAAGTACTAACCTACAACAACAAATCATTTGAGAATCAACATAACTGGCAAAGCTGCTTAGCAATATGGTTACACAAAGATGATCTAAACTGATCTAAGAAAAAGATATTTTCCTACATTCATTTCCAAAATGTTTCTTCCTCACAAGGAACTTGCCTGCACTTGCCTGCACATACAGCTAACACAAACTACTAGCTTTCACCCCAATAATCTTGACTATTACCTTTAATTCAAAAGGAGTGTTTATTGAGAAGGGTGTAGAATGTTTCTGAAGACATGCAGAAAGGGTAATTTTATTAGTGTCTGAAATATTTGTTAGTTTAAGGACTGTATTCAGACGTACAAAACAGTTTCAAAGAATTTTACAGTCTTGAAGTGTTAGTCTTTCTTAGAATCTCTAAGAAAATATAAAATTAAAAGATGTTTCATGCAGTGCTTGAGAAATAATTAATACTTATTATTAGTGATATACTACTAACAGTGTTTGTGTATTAGTATTTTAAGCAGAGAGCATTAAAGTAAAAAAACTTATAAAAGTGTTGGCAATATTTGAACAAAGCCTCTTCAGTTTTTTTACAATAAGCACCTTGGGGTGGAAGGGAGGATAACTGGAAAAGGCAGGTTTTCCAAACGCAAACTAACATATAGAGGTATCACAACTCATGATGGCAAGCAGGAATTAACCCCTCTTGGTTCCCCATATGGTGGTCCTATACTGCTGGTTTTTAACCCCCAACACATGGCCTGTTCTCTTCCAATTCACGTAAAAACACTTGCTAAACCTTGTTTCACAAATTTAAGCCATAAATCTGGAAGAAGCAAGGCCACTTGCCCAGGGTGCCCAGAGCAGCTGTGGGTGCCCCCTCCCTGGAAGGGTTCAAGGCCAGGCTGGACGGGGCTGGGAGCCCCCTGGGCCGGGGGAAGGGGGCCCTGCCCGGGGCAGGGGGGGGCACTGGATGATCTTCCAACCCAAACCATCCTGTGATTCTAAAAGGAGCAGTTATATACGGGAAGGCACCGAATTCCCTACAGTTTCAAGCTCCTTATAGTGCTTCACTAAACAGGTTCTGCCTGTACCTCTTCCCTTTGACAGAGCAAGCTGCTCCCCCCCCACTTCTAACGCCCCAGGAACCACAGGACACTTCGGGCTGGCTGGGCCTCAGTGGGGTGCAACCCCCTCTCCCAAAGGGGCTCCACACAGAGCAGATACATCGCCCACAGCCTTGTCCAACCGCGCTGTCCGTCTCTGAGGATGGATTCTATTCAGAACCATGTTTCAACCCATGCCCACGGTCTACCTCCTCCGTCTCCTCCGCACCTCGCCCTATTAGGTAGCTCAAAGCCTTACTAATCCCTGTACTCAGCCGTGCCTGAACAAACCCAGCTCGCCCACCCTCTCCTCGCCCCACCTCGGGGCTCCAGCCCCCTCAGACCCCCGGCAGCTCCCCGCTGACCCCCCGTGCCGGGATGCCCCAAAGCGGAGCCGGCACCCCAGGTGCCCAGCACCACGGCCGCCAGGCGCTGGGGTGACCACGGGAAGCCCCCGACCACCCGTCAGCCGGGCGGCTGCCGGCTTGGCGGTCATAAAAAAAAAAAAAAAAAAAAAAAAAAAAAAGAAGAAGGAGGCACCGTAATGAAAACGGTGACAGTTAACGAGAACACGCGGGCCGCCTCCTGCCCCGCCGGGGCCGCGGCGGTAACGGGGGGAAGGCCCCAGCAGCCGGCGGGGCGGCGCGGCTCGGCGCAGGCCCGGCCCCCGGGAGCGGGGGCAGAGGGGCGCCCGCCCCCACCGGAGCCGCGGCCGCGGAGGGGCGCGGCGCCCGCCCGCCCGCCCGCCCGCCCGGACACACTTACTTGAAAGCCGTCGCCATGGCGGCGCCGCGGCCGTCCCGGATGCGCCGCTGCCGTGTGACCCAGCCGGCCGGAAGCGGCCGGCGGGCCGCCGCCTCCCTTTCCCGCGGCCCTCGCCGGCGGCCGGAACGGCCCCTCCTCGGCGGGAGGGCGGTCGCTTCCGCCCCGCTGTCGCCGCGCGATAGGGCGCGGGCGCGGCGCGGCCCATGGCGCTGTCGCTGCCCGACGCCGTGGCGGTGCTGGCCGCCCTGGCCGCCCTTCTCTTCCTCCTGGTGAGAGCCGCGCCGCGGGTACCGCGGGCCCGAGGGGCCTGCAGGGCGGGGGCGGGACGCGGGGCAGCGGCCGGGGCTCGGCCCCGGGCCCGCGGCGGGGCCTGCTCCGCGCCCGGAGGGGCTGGGCCTGGGCCTGGTTCCGCGCCGGGGCTGCGTTTGCGCCGGGCGCGGGGCGAAACGCCTCGCGGGCGAGGTAAAAAAACCTCGCGTTTCGTCCTCGGAGAACGCCTTGTAAAACACCCCCACACCCCCCCGTGACCCTCCTTCACGGTAACCACTTGGGAGCCCCGCCCGTTTGTGCGTGGCAGAAAGACCGCGCGAGTTTGGGAAGTTTGACATCTGGAAAGCGAAATCCTGCACCCCATCAACGGTGCCGCGTACGTGGCGTTCCCCAGTCAAAGTACTCCCGAAACCAAGTGCTACAGGTTTATCTGCGTGCTTTGCGGCTGAAAACGGCGACAAGCCACTGATGCTGACAGCGGGCAGAGTAGGTGAAGCGGGGTAATCAAATGGCACAAGAAGGTTTTGGACCTGCCTGGTTTCCTCAGCAGATGAAGTACCTGCACCCCTGACGTGCCTCATTACCGAAATATAGCTGGTTGCCCCTTGTAGCACATTAAACAGCTCGGTCAACCCTTGATAGAACACTCACTGATTTTTCTCATTACTTTTTTGTCATAGATTTGTATGATTGCTCATGTAACTGCCAGAAAAATGCCAACCCTCCCCCAACATAAAGAAGAGAAATTCTTCATAAATGCTGAAGGCAGGAAAGAATCTGTACCAAGTATACATGATCCACCTACAAGGGAACTCTCCGTTGTTGTGCCTTCGTACAACGAGGAAGACCGGTGTAAGATTTTGCTTGTTTTGAGAAAAAGAAGAAAATCTATCTGTTTTTACTCTAATAATGCAGAGGTCAGTTTATGTTAGCAGGAGATTCTGGCGGACCAGATTATGTATTTGATTTTGGACACAGTTTCCAGAAAACAGTCCAAGTACATTGAGTTTCAAAATTAAGACACTGTGTAACTTGATTTCTGCTGCTAAAAATAACTTGGGGCACTTGTAAGAATCCTCTTTATTTTAATGAAGTCCAGCAGAATGTCTGCTTATTGCCCCTGTAAATGCTGTAAGGCAACAAGTGGAAAAAGACTTTTAAAATTAATTTGAGAGCTTCCCAGTCAGTAAACAACAGCAGCAGCTTCAGACAAGCAGGAAGAAGGATGATCTCATGGGTTTCTGTTTGACTTGGCCATATATATGAGTACCTGATACAAAAAAAAGTGAAGGATTTCAGATGTGATAGAAATCATCAAGCTCTAAAGTCTAAAGCTCTGCTTGGGGTTGATGTGGTAGCACACATTGTCATTCCTTTTCTTGGTGTGTGAAAATACCGAGCTGTTCAGGATTTCATTAAGAGAGATGTTGATAAATAAAGTGTATCTGGATACAAGGTAGACCTGACCCTTTCTCGAGTCCATTGCATTCCTCAGCCCTGGTTCTCATACACTGGTTTTCAGTAAGCAAGGTCTCAATATGCTTCATATGATTTTTATTTAGCTGTCTCTTTCTTTGGAGACAGAATAATCACCTGAGATGCGCTCAGGAATGAACATATGCTGCAAAGACAGCCATAAGTTTGAATGTCTTTCTAACCTGCAGATAAATCAGCTGCAAAAATAGTGCCTGTTTGTTAGCTGAAGCATTGTGGCCATCAGCCTTAGTAAGAGAAGGGATGTTACTGACTGGCGTTAGGAATTTCTCTTGTTGCCTGCTCTGTCATCTTGCTTAAATGGATAAAGTCAGTGCTGGTTTGCATAGAGAATGCATTTTTTTTTCCTTTAATATTGTGTAGAGAATTGCATATTTCAAAATATAAAGTTCTTTCTTATCTTCAGAAGAAATATTTTTATCCTGTCTTATATGTGTGATTTTCTTCAGTGTTTTTTTTTGCATTCAGAAGGGACAAGACTTAAGAGTTGCAGGTTTTAAGCTCGTTTACCAAAGGCAGTGTTGTATGAAAGAGGCAATTTGCTCAGCTTTGCTTTGTGGTTGTTTTCAGCTTGCTTGTGCAGGTGCTTTTTGGTGCATTGCCTGTTATAATCTACTAACCTGACCTATCTCACCTTTTCTCTAGTACCTCTTATGATGGATGAAGCTTTGGATTACCTAGAAAAAAGACAGGTATTTTCATTTTGTGTTCAAAATTCATTATTTTTCTACGCATTATGTATAATGTCAGTGATCTGTTCACTTTGTTATTTTGGTGTATGTTAAAACAGTATTACTTAGCCACTTAGAAGTAGTGCTTCTGTCTCTTATCAGTTATTTTTAGATTGAATGCTGGAAGGTATTTTTAAATTAAGTAAAAATTTAATATACTACTCTATGATGGAAAATCTTTGTGTGCATGATACCTCTCTGAAGACAGAGATTAAGGCTTAACCATACATTTAGCTTTCTAAACTAAATCCTGTTTTGTTCCATCAAGTTTCATAAGGATCTGTTCTTCATTAGGGTTTGTTCTCTGGGTAGTAAGCCCATTGTGAAGGTTTGTGGGTTTTGTTTGGGTTTTCTTAATGTTCTAAGATTTCATCTTTTACAACTAAACTGATTTTTCAGTTCTAGATGGTAGCTGAGGAAAACTATGACAAACCGATGTAATAGAACACACATCAAATAATGGAAAAATTCTTTAAGTATGCCATTGTAACAAATTTACTATATCATATTGGTATCTGTTGACAACCATGAATGAGTTAAAAACTGCTAGGGAGAAAAGAAAGCTGATGTTTGAAAGACCTACTACCTGCTTAAGAAATTGGATTAAATGCAATATTTCTGGTTTTATTTTCAAGAAACGAGATCCTTCGTTCACTTATGAAGTAATAGTGGTCGATGATGGTAGTAAAGATCAAACTACGAAGGTAAGAAAAAGAAGTGTCTTACAAAGTAATCAGGTACGGATTTTTGTACGGTGTTTGTGGAATATAACAATGTTTTGCATTTATATTTTGGTACTTTAAGTAGTTGACAATCAAAATACATGTTTCTGAATACTTTCTGTCATTGTTCTACATGCATTGTGGATTTCACATACACACATGCATACACACGTAATTTTTTTGCAAATACTAGTATTCTTGATTGGCGGCTGTGACAACCATTTTCCTACAGCTCAGATTCTAAAAGTTCTAATCTTAACTTCAGTGAATTTCGTATGAAATATTCTACGTGTGCGTAGTGGTATGAATATGAGCTTGAGGAAGTTGAAAAGCCTTTTAAAATAGCTGATTTGTACTGTGATTCACAAAACAGCTGGCATGATTTGTAGCTTTTTCCCATACCCTTCATGGCATTGTTCATTTAAGAATTCCTGTGCCAGTAGTAGCATTTGCAAAATAGTTCTGCATTCTTCTGCTTTGACTTTGACGTATATTACTGGAAAGGAAGGCTGGCCAACTTGGGGGGTTTTTTACTACTGCTTGAAAGTTGTTAGCTACTAAAATTAATGCTGCTTCTTCATTTACTTTCCTTAAGCTTGTGCTTTAAGGATTGCTCGTATGTATTTTTTTGACTGCTTTGCATTCCTTCTAGCATCATTTCTAACTGAGCACACTATTGCCATGGACCGCTGGACTTGCAAGGACTTGAGACAACCCTTAGGAAAAATTAGAGGAGAAAACTCATGCTTTCTTTTCCCCACAACATGAAACAAAACGTGCACACCCCTGCAGTGTGAATGGGATTTTAGATCACTGTGAATTTTTGTTTAAAACCACAGGTAGCAGCAAGACAAGTGAGAAATAGGTAGCAATAGTGGAAAATTATTTTTCTTTGATTGACTATTGGTGTTGGTATAAAAGGTCTGTAATAGTATGATATGAATTACAGTAGTAGTGAGTTTTTTGGACTTGGGCGACTTCGGTTTAGAATTGCTTGGGGAAATATCCTGTTCTTGTTGAATGTGACTAGCTTCCTCAGTCTCCTTGTGTTGACTGTGAACCGGTTTTTATTTTCCCAAACAGACTCCAGCAAACACTGGCAATGTACTTGTGCTGACTGAAGTGGTTATAGCTCTATGCTATTAATTTTTTTTTAAAAAAAGGGTAAGCAAATGTAAACTTCTACATTGATTCCTGGTTTTGTTTTATGCTGGTTTTTTGTGTGTCTATCAGGTTGCAATGAAGTACTGCAAGAAATATGGAAGCGACAAAGTGCGAGTGCTTTCTTTGGTAAAAAATCGAGGGAAAGGAGGAGCAGTCAGGATGGTAATTGATACTTTCATCTCATTCTCTGTTTGAACTGCCTGTGCCCAAATATGCAGAAGATAGAGCTGTGCTGATGGACATTTTGAATTCAATCTGTTAACAAAATTATTAGCAGAAAACTGAGTACAGGTTCTATAAATTAAGGCAAAAACTCTTTTCAAAATTAGCTCATTTTAGGTATTGGAAACAGTATTTTATTGACAGGAAGCTCAATAGCAAAGAGCCTTTTTTATATGAGAATTCAAAAGAAAAAAAAAAGTCAGACTTGAATTTCATGTTCCTGTTAGTTCCACTTAGAAATAGGTTTGCATTTAAAAAAAACAACCAACCAACCAACCAAAAAAAAAAAAACCTTTAAGCATTAAAGTAAAACTTTTATAGAGAAAATACAGCTAAATTTGCAATGTTGTTTTCCAGGTCATAGTTGTTGTTTTAAAAATGACTAATGAACAAACCCTCTCATCTAGAAAAGTTGGTGTTTACTGAAGCCCACTGCTATTACCTGCACTCGATAGTAGAACCAGCACAATTTATACTTTCACATATTAATTTCCACATAGATATTATCATAAAATTATCATGTTCTAAAAATAAAATAGCTGTTACACATTTAGAAGGAACATATTTTCTTAAGATGAATGTCACCTTTTGTGGAAAAGAGTGGTATCGTTTATGGGTTATCAGTGACTGTCTCTATCTTTATTTTAAGCTCTATCTTTAGTATGTCCATTTAATAACATGAGTAACTACAGCAAATGGAGAGAACGTTAAGTTAGAACACATGGAGTTTTTGTAAGGGATACGTATTTGAAGTTATTCCAAGAGAAGGAGAGCGATTCTCTGTGATTTATTTTTGTGTTGCAGAATGTAGGTTGGTTGTATATACTACTACTTCCTTGACAGGTTTTTCCAAAGTCACGCGTGCTTGGTTATGACAGTACTTTTGGCAATCCCACTGCTAATTGTTGTTTTGTCCTGGACCCCTTCAGAAATTGTCCAAGATGTCTGACCAAGAATATGGCGAAACAAGCTGTGAGACCTGTGCACCACAAATGTTTTGCAGTGATACTGTGACTTAAGATTTATTTCTCAAAACTAATTTAAGATTATCTCTTGAATTCTCTTTAAACAGTGTTAGGAAAAAATAGCACTGCATCCTCCTTTCCATAACTCAAATGAGAAATAAAATCTGTCCAGTGCAGTGGCAGCTGCTAATCTCTGCTTCTTTGTGCTCCGCTGTATAGCCGACTGTAGTAACTTCTTGTCTCTGGGGATTTGGGTTTGTAAAGCTTTTCGTTTGCAAGCTACTCAGGAGGCAGATTATTAACCTTTCATGTTCATGCATTGTCTGTCACTGTGGGGCACTACTCAGTGTGTGAGGTCTCTAGATGTTATGTCAGTATAAATTGTTGTTAGTAGCAGAGTATTAAGACTCACCTGTTGTGTTGCATCTTTGAGGTACCACTGTTCTAGTTACTACATTAGATTTTTGGAGTGTCTTGCAGCTAGCTTAAGACAAATGCTGATTTCAAAGCTGTTGATTTTTATTGACTCTTTTGATTGCAGGGTGTCTTTAGTTCTCGGGGAAAAAAAGTTCTTATGGCTGATGCAGATGGAGCTACAAAATTTGCAGATATTGAAAAAGTAGAAGAAGGTCTACAAAATCTTCAGCCGTGGCCTGTGAGTACAAATTCTCGTGGTTTTAGTTTAATACACATGCAAACAGAGTGATTTTTGTAATTCTCTTCAACTTGAGTTTTTTGAGATCTGGTTGAAGATCTAGGTGTAAGCTGAGAAGCTGCAGGAATGGGCTGTCAGAAGGTAGCGTCCACAGGGTTCCTGTCCTTCGCATTCACTGTGCCTATTTCAGTGTAGTACATAATGTTTTATTTACTACGCTTTCTTTGAAGTTGTTCTGCTCTGTATAAATACCATGTGTTGCCTACTCAGTTAAAAACCAATTTTTTCTCTGTTAACCGTTTTGTATTTTCATCTAATGTCATATACCTTCAAGGATGCATCTTAATTTCAACCTATTTTATAGAGGTTCTCTTTTCTCAGAGTTGTTAGTTTAGTGAGACTATTTGGAAGAGCCTTTATTGTAAATAAAAATTCAGAAACCTGTGGAACAAGAGCTCCTTCCTCCCTGCACAGTCATTCTCTTTTGGGTGCTTGACTTGAAAGAACTGAGGTTTATTTTCTGCTTGTGTGCAGACGAGTGAGGTGCTTGCAGCTAGTTTCCCGGGGTGCCAGAAGCAGGGTGCAGCCTTCCAGCAGGAGCTGCGAGGGCTGCGCCTGTGCGAAGGGCCGTGCTCTGGGGGGGCAGGTCCCCCCGTGCAGGAGCCACCGGGTGCCCGGGATTCCTTCCCTGGTGCTCTCTGCTGCCCAGGCATAGCAGCAGCATCAGGCCTGCACTCTCAAATATAATAGATTCGAGAGATTTCCTGTGAGAAGTAGTAGCGTGAGAATAATTTTAAACTTTTTCTTTTGATCACATCTTTTGATTTAATTTGAGATTATATTTTTGGCTGATACCATGGCATTTGATTTGTTTGAAGGTACAGCAGTGCAACAAGTAGGTTATTCTGTTACCCCTTCCACAGTGCAATATTTAGGGAAAACATACGTTGCAACATTAAGTGCCTAGGAATGCTGAATGCTTATCTGTACTGTTAACACATTTGCCGGATGCGTGTCTCAGAGGAACCACGTAAGCTAAACCAGACCTGAAAAAACTGCAGCGATTTGTATGCACCATATGCAAAATGTGATAAACTTTAGCTGGTCTGTTAATTGTAGAAAAGACTGATCTTAGCCTCAGAATCTCAGTAGAAAAAGTGCAGCTACAGGAAGCAGAAAAGTATACGGCTTTGAAGTTACAGTTCTCAACACAAGATTCCACTGATTCAGAAAATGTTAGTTTAAGTAATAACTCTCTAATTTGTATTCCTGTGCAGTGCCAGATGGCTATTTCCTGTGGTTCTAGAGCTCATCTGGAGAAGGACTCGATAGCAAAGGTTTGTTTCCATTTCCTGCTGTGTACTAATATTAAAATACTTCCATTATTTGATTCCGCTCTGCAGATTTTACAATTAAATAACCAATATTTGTAAAAGAATGGAAGCTAAAAAATAGGAAAACCTTGTCATAAGTGTAGCGTGTGCTCCATCGTATACAAAGGACGTATTCTAGATTTCAGGCACTTTGAACTGTTTTCAGTTAATGTTCCAATTTATGGATTTAATTTTCTTACTTGAGAACATCTTACGAGCAGAGCTTCTAATCCCTGACAGAACTGGTAGCTAGTATCCAGTACTGGGGCTGGAGTGGAAGGCAACTGGTGAGTTAATATTTATTGATTCCCTTATGGTGCAAGAGCTTGATTTGCAGCTCTTGAAACCTGTTTAAAATGAGCTAGGGATAATTAGCAGCAAAATGTTTGAAGAGTATCTCAATTCATGGGAAAGTACTGTAATTTTTCTGCATTACTCATAGTAAAATTTTTGAGTTTTTAACACACAGACAGTACTGTTCTATGTGTGACTCTTGTGGAATAAACAGTGATGAATGGGAGCATAGTCTTATCTTGCATCTGGTTTTCTGATATCTTGGCAGACAGTAGTTGACAAAGCACAAGCATGGAACTTGTATTGCAACAGACACATTGCTGGACTAATTTTTTCAGCATCATTGGATGTGCTCATCATGTTGAATGTTCTCAAGAGTAAGCTTTGTTTATACTGACACTTAATACTTGAAACTATTCTAAAATATATACACAATTAGTAAAATAGTTACAAAACTTCAAAAGAAATTACACTGGTAATGGTCAGCCCCTGGTAGATCTTTAATTTTTTTCTTCTGGTTTATCAGGTAGTATTGGAGTGGTTCGCTGGAAAGAGTTCTTGTAAATACTGCTGAGTGTGTGTTAGCATCCTCACAAAAAAACAAAACAAACAAACAAAAAAAAAAAACACAAACGAAAATAAACCAATCAACCAAAAAACCCTAAAACCTTTATCATTATCAGAAATTAGGATAAATCTTTGACATGGTACTTGCATGCTTGCACTTGCAGTTCTTTGTTAGCTGTGCGGCCAGTGTGTCCTGGAAATGTTGCTATTACAAGGAGACCATGTAGCTGATAAATTTGAGCCCAGAAAAAAATGCTTCGTTGTGTGGTCAGGTACCAAATATAGATAAACTTTCTTTGGTGCATTCATATTTATTTTCATTTTTGAAGGTTGTGCTACATGAGTGAGAGGAATTGGAACAGGACTTTACCTTTTAATGCAAAAGTACAATTTTAGGATGTGTCCATCCTTTGATTCCCGTTTCTCCCAATATTTCTGACTTTTTGATAAAGGAATCACCAACTGGTCAGGTAGTACTGCTCTGTTTGAAATATGTAGCCCATTTTGTCATCCAGCTGTCCCTAGACTGGGAAGGAAGGACAGCATTTACCATGTTGGGAGGAGACTGTTGTGTAGTGCAATAGGTATAAACAGAATTGCAGAATATCTTTGAAGAAGTTGGGATTTCTCTCTGGGCATAGTAGCATCTAGAACGGTAGAATGAAGCTGTGATAAGCAGCCATATAGGATTTCACCAGAATTTCACCCCTAAATTCAGTCTCAAGACATCAAGAATTCTGTTCTGCCTCCAGCATTGTTAATGTACTTTAGTGAATCCATAGCATGACATGCATAAGTAGTCATGCGAGTGATGAACGTAACCCAGGAGCCCCTCTTTGTGAAGTGCACAGTTTCACTGGATGACAGTCATGCAGCCTCTTACTGTTTCCCTTTGGCGAGTAGTAGCCTTGTGTTCTTGGTCACACAGTGGTTCACCTTCACCAGAAGAGCCCAAGAATCCACACCAGATCTACATTAACCTAGGGCTAGAGCACTTTTCTGAGAGTCACAAGCTATGAATTTGAATTTACTTAAACCAAAGGCTATTACATAAGCTGAGCATCTTCTCATTTTTCCAGTGAGGTTTGAAATTGTTAGCTTTAAAGGCATCTTTTATCACCCAGAGATGCTTACCAGTTAAACTGTTGGCTCCTAAAGATTTTTGCATGGTATTTGGCTTGCAGTCTTAGATACAATCACCTAAATTGAGCTTAAGGGCAGCAGTGAGTTCAGAAGCGATTTGTGGATCAGGGTTCTAGTTGTTTAGGAGATGGCTTGAAGAAAAGACTGGGAGGGACCTCTGGGAACCCAGAGTCCAGCCTCTATGTTCCATGGACAAACTTACCTGTGTGATTATTGTGCCAAGAACAAAAGTGTGACCAAAGAGTAGGCTGGGGAAGCATTTACCAGGAGCATAAAATATATTTGTGAAAGCAAAAGAACAAAAGAAGTGACTGTGTAACCTTGTTGAAAATATAAAGTGAAATATTATCTTGCACAGCAGCTGTTACTTTAGTGCTGGTTTCACTTGGTCCCTCATATACTGCAAAAAAGTGTATTCTCTAATTGCATTCCCTTAAGTGCCTTAACACAGTGTGTGCAAGCTCTGAAGATCATTCAGTCTTGAATGAAAGGAGTGGGTAGCAAACCAACAAGAGATGCTCCCATTTGTTTTTTCTTTTAATAATCTAAACCTTAAAAAAAAAAAAATTATGTCATAGTAGCAGCTGGAACCTGTTCGGTTTTTAGTGTGTATTCTTAGGAATAGCAGTCTTTATGCAGTCGTGCTGGCTTGTTCTTCATTGTTTGTCCTGGTAACTTTTGAATTTGTTGGACCTGTTCAGCCAATTTTTAGGGAGATAAGAGGACTAGGTAGAGGTAAAAAAATGCTTATAAGCATTCAGTGGAGTAGAGTGTGTAGCATGCCAACCTCTTCCTCCTTCACTCTTCCTTTCCTGGGGGAATTCCCAGAGAATCGTGCAGGAGATACTATGGCTGTCCCACTCATTAATTGAAATCCAGGTGCAAGTTCCTGCTCCACCTAAGGCATTATCCAGAATTAAAAGCTGCTCTGAGTTAGAGAAAGCAGAAAAAAGAACTTGAACTTGTCATATCCTAGGCCACCATCCTAACCACACACTTGACTGGCAGGTCTCTCCTTTTCAGCTGTAATTCTGTTTCACTGTAACAGTTGAAAATTTCTGCTTTTATTCCAGCACAAAGCACAAGTAGTTCACAAACTTCAAGAGCTATCATGAAACAGGATTATTGTCCTGTAAACCAGCTCTGTTCCAACACTTCACTCATCACTTAAATGAAACCATCTAACTCTTGCCTTTTGTCCACAGCGCTCTTACTTTCGAACTCTCCTCATGTACGGGTTCCACTTCCTTGTATGGTTTCTCTGTGTCAAAGGGATCAGGGACACGCAGTGCGGATTTAAACTTTTAACCAGAGAAGCTGCCTCGCGGACCTTCTCAACTCTTCATATAGAACGCTGGTAAATTCTTTCTTTTTTTGTTGTTTTTTTTCTAATTGAACATGGTTTTGAAAAAGTAATTTCAGTATTGCAGCTACTATGAAGCATGTGATGTCTGTATAAATCCTAGCTGCTCATTTTAACCAGTTATAGCACTACTTGGTTGGCAATTCAGATTTCTTGTTATGCCAAAATACCTTGGTATTTGCTAGGAATTCTATTTTATTATGATATACTTTAGGAAATGGTTGAGTACTCTTTCTGTTAGTGATAACAGGGGAAAGGGGGACGGATGGGCTTACTAAGTTTTAATTTTAAAAGAACATTCAACATAAACTGCAAGAAGGATTTTATGACTGCGTTGCTGAGATTTTGAGTGGCAACAATTGACTCCTTGACTCCTTGCAAGTCCATTTTACTTTGATATAGAAGGAGTTGTGTAATACTGAGAAGTAAGACATTTTGGTTTTGCCTTGTCAGAGCAACTAGTAATTGATTAAAGGAGCAAACAAAAAGAAAATTCCAAGAATTCTCTTCACCTCTAAAAGAAATCCCAAAGAAATCATGTCTGATAATGTAATGCATTCCTTATTTCTGAGAGTCTTCTCTCCTTTTACAGATAGGAGCCATGCAAGCAGAGTAAGAAATGGAGAGAAGCTCTTACTATGATAAGGAAAGTTAAGAGTTAATGATACCGTTCAAAAATTTTATCAGTCTATTTTTATGCATTATGACCTTCCAACTCAGTGCTGCTTAACCAAAACATTTTACCTAAAATCCATGTCTGATATTTGTAACCGTTGAAGGCTAAAATTGAAAGGAAATGCCTACTCTTAGCTTATTTTCTTGGTGGAATGTTTAATGAGAGAACTACTGATAGATCTCATTGATGTAAGACAGTAGAAAATGATGCATAGTCTTTGAATTACTTTAGAGCTCTCTTTAATTATGATTTAGCTAGAACAGCTCCCTTAGGAGAGTGATACAGTCATGATAACTGTTGTGGGACTGAGACACTTTTTCCACATAAATACCATAATTTCTGTAAACTTCCTGCACCACAATTATTGCTGAAAAGGATGGTGACAATCCCCAGGCTTAATTAAGTGTAATCAAATCTTTTCAAACTATTGTCTTCATCCAAGAAAATCTTTCATGGGCTACTGCTTGCTGACAGGGAACAGAATTACTGAACAATGTTCTCCTATGAAAATGTGTGTAATCCCACAGTCCCAGTCAATTTCAATACATGCAGTTTGAAGCTGAGCTTTGGCAGTGGTAGTTAAGCTATATTGCTCCTCCAGAATGGCGTTGCAAAGGTAGTGTTTGGGTGCACAAATCTGATGCAGAACACGGAGCTTCTGTTCAAACAAATCTGGAATTGTGAGCAGTAAGCATCTGCAAAATCTCTTTCCTGGCTGAGTAGTTTGCTTATTGTCCTAAATAAAGCTATAGCTGAACCAGAAACGTGATTTCTGCTGCTACCTCCAACACCAAACTTGGTCTATAAAGTTCTGTAAATTTCATATATAGGAATTTTCTAAATAGATGTCCAGAAGTGCACATCTCAAAATTATCCTATTTAACTTTACTCTCTAAATGAAGAGCTTCAAGAAGTACTGAAATAAATGAATGAGGAGAATCAGTTTAATCTGTAAAAATACAATCTTCCATCTTACTCTCTTGTAAATGAAAGATTTTAAATATAATTGTACTTATTGGGCAGATATATTATGTAAAGTGTTCAATTTTTTATAAAAAGAAAACAAGCTTTCTCCTGCTACTCAGATTCTTTAGCAACAAAGGAATGAAAGAGTAAAAATAACTGTGCTTTACATTGTCATCTGTACCCCATTATCCAGGAACAGAGGCAGTGAAAAAGGGATATTGCTAACTTATTTTGTAGCAATTATATTGCTGGTGTGGAACACACTGGATCTTCAGGTCTTGGTGTGTTAATTCAGTGTGCTTATATGTGCTGCTATAAAATTAGTCTTCTATTCTTGCTCTTTTCTTTACAGTACTCCATAAACTAATCCCCTAAGCATTTTCCTATTTGTGTGAAATTTACTGGTTAATGATGAAGAATCTTTGTTTTCTTATTCACGAAAAGAATAACTCAAATTCTTCCAATAAACAGCTCTTCAGATACTTCCAAGTCACAAATTTGCCAAAAACAACAATTGAGTTTTTTCATTTGGTTTAATTTTCTGCCAAAACAGTCAATACATTGTCTGCTTTTATTCTCGTCTGTCCTTCAGGTGGTCCCTGTACTTCCCTGCCTTTATTTTCACACTTACTGGCTAATTTCAGTGAAATCTGACAGAAGAGTAGAGATCTCAAGATGGAAAGCTTTGGCAAGTTTTGTGGCAACTGAAACCATAGTAGAGGAGAGAAACACAGACTATTGCTGAAGAAAAAACTACAGTAGGGACTCAAGTTGCTTACCATCAGCTTCGTGGGTAGCCATTCAGCATGTGTAATTGCATGCTAACATTTCAGTGCACAGAACAGAGTGCTGTCACTTTCCCGGTTAATGTTCATAAGATCTGGAAAGAAAACTGGGAGGTGGGCAGATATAAGCATATGAGGAAAGTGAGTATGTTAAAGGAAACGGTAGTCATAAGTGAAATGTCTGTGGTGGGATAATTGCAGTAGGAAATGATACAGGGACATCATCCCGTAGAACCATACGCTGGATTTCTTTGTATGTGGTAATGTAAGAATCTGGAATAGCCCAATAATGGAAGCTGCTTCTTTTAAGCAAAACTGGTCCCTGATACTTTTCAGTTGCATAGCACGTGTGTGAAAAGGAAAATAAAAACTAGTTAGACATTGTGCCATGGAGATTTTGTACATGTCATGAGAAAGAAGACGTAAGAGGAAGAAATAGTAGTTGGTATTATATGTCTGCTGACTTGGAACAACTAACTGGGTCACAGAACAACTTATTTATACTGTGACCATCAACAGGGGGTTGCAGAGAAACCGCTATCTAGATATTGGACAAAAGGGTCTGAAATCTGGGTTTATTACCATCTCTGCGTCACTGCACTGAGGCTATTTGACATCTGAAGAAATTATTTTATTCTTTTTGAATCTTAAAATCCCATTAGTGAAGTGCAGCTCTGTTAGGTATTTCAAGAAGAATTTAGTTCAGTGTGGTCAGTACTCAGATATTCTGGTTATAATGGAGGTGCGTGCTGGGGAATATTCAACAAACAAGCAACATTTAATAGGATAAAAGCCATCTGGGAGCCAGCACCCTCGTCACTGAGTCTGTTGAGGGCTCCCCCACTGCTGAACCAGAGCATGTGGTGAGCTGTTGAAGAGAATGAACATGATTCAGTTTCTGCAGAAGCCTCGTGTCTTGTCTGCTCATGTTTTGCCAGGCTCAAATTTTTTTGAGGTCCTACAGTATTAAGTGAATTCTTATGTGAGGACATAATAAATACTTAGACTGAACATTAATACATAACATATTTACTCATGATGTTAGTATAAAATTACTATAAAATCATCTGTCTAATAATTTCTGCCCTGAACTGTTCAGCCTAGTGCTCAGTTAGAATATAAATACGCACAAACAATGGACAGGATTTGCTTCATCGCATCTAGAGTGCATCCACTTGTCATCTAGCCTTCCTTCTTAGGCAATAAAAGAAGGAGCAAATTTAGGATATAATTAATTTCATCCTAATACAGGCCTCTAAAATATGCCAGATGAAGCACAGCTGACAAATACGTGTTTCCTGTCCTCGACTATGAAGGGCCTCTGGACAATTGGTACAGAAGGGGCTCTCTCTACTGTAGATGACTGAAGTTCAGCAGGGTGAATTCAACTCACAGTGTACAAGTATGTGAGAAAAAAACATAGGTTGCTGGTGCCTGAACTGCATCAAAGTGTAAACTATTCAGTAAATCATGAAAAGAGCGGGTTAGAAGAAAAACTACTGAAGCAATTCTGTATGAAAGGCGGCTCGCTTTCGAGGCTGTATAGGCAGCACCCGTTGTTTCTGTAGACAAAAAGCCCCAAGAATTCTTCCCTTCAGATAAAGAAATCTAATAGTGGCTTTGCACAGAAGAGAGCACCAGTGCTGAACTAGCGCTGGGCGGTAGGAGACTGCCCCGAAGCGCTGAATACCGTCAGTGCTTCTCCAAAAGGCAGAGTGATAGCTGTTCAGGAAATAACGCAGGTTTTATTTCCGTGTCTCACAGTAGGCTTATAACATCCCTCACTCACAGAGCAAGTATTAGGAGCACAGGCTCTTCCTTGGAAGCTGACCATGCTACACTCTGGTAATAGATATGTCAGTGTAAACAACATAGGTGTCCTGCTGCTAGGTTGGACAGGCTGAAAGATTTCTAAGTTTCTTACTTAAATAGAGACACCAGAAATAAACGCGTATGTTTTTTTCAGTGTTTTACCAGAACCACCAATAAAATGGACTGTTGTGTTTCCATATGCACCTTTCACATGAAAAAGAAGGGGACTACATCAAGACCTTCCTTTATATGATCTTATGTGCATCTTTTACAGTTTCAATATTAGTTTAATCAGAAGGAAATAACCCAGTATCAGCTGCATTGAATGAAAAACTGATTGCTTAGATCCTCACTTCTTTCTCCTTTCTTCATGCCCTTTCTATTCCGGTTGACATTGAATATCACCTCTTTAATGCTAAAAAACCACAGTTTTCTTCTTGCTGTGCTGAATTTGATTTATAGATGCTTATATTTAAGAAATCTTAAAAACAAACTGAAACATACAAGAAAAAACAGCGTTTTATCGTGATGGTGACAAAGATCATGTAACACTTTGAAGAGAAACCAAGATATTTCCTAGAATATTTTGTTAATCTAACCCTAAAGTTTAGAAAGCTTTTAAAAATTAATAGATACTGGAAACTGTTTATATATTTGATACTAAGAAATCACGCTTACATCCTAAACTAGGGGTTTTTTTGTGAGTGTTCTCATAGGCTTTTTTGTTTAACAGTCCTTTGGAGAGCTAGCTGTGTATATACAAACACAAACCAAGCGTTCTTGATATTTACTTTCTAAATAGCAAAATTTTTACATTAGTTTGAAATAAGAGCAACCTTTTGAACAGAGAGCATATACTTTGTGTTTTAGGTTCTGAATCTGATTATACCACTGATCTATTTTTCAGAAATGGATGGAGCACATTTTTTAAATTAAAATTAAAAAGGATATTTTATAAACATAATAGACACAGTTGGAATTACTCACTTTCAGACTCCAAAAGACGCTCTGGTTCTGCATCTACAGTCTTGACCTGAAAAATGTAACTGTTTATGTTACATTTTAGTGCACAGGAGGAAAACTGGAAAATTAAGCGGTTTCACTGGCAGAATTTTCCTATCCTAAATTTGGTCACTGGTTTCTTCTAACGACAAAAAAAAAAAATTCATACATTTTCTTCCAGCTAGAAGATGTCTTTCCTTACCTAGGAGAACTAGGCATAGAAGTGATTACTGTCCTACCTGGATTATTTATAAAATGAGGGGAGATTCAAAATATAATTCTAGTCCTGGTTTGATTGACAGACTTTTGTCAAGTGGCAGATTATAATGATATTACGCAACTCAGCAGATCACTGATTAGATCTAATTGTTGCTATTACTTTTGTCTATAAAAATTGCCTTGTGCACTGCACAAGCCATGCTGTTTCACTTTTAAAACTCGAAAGCTCAATATAAAAAATTGTTTGTTTCTCCAGTTTGTCAGTAATCTCTATATAAAAATTGCAGGGAAAAAAAAAAAAGCATTCATATTGCTACAGAGACTGTTTTTTTCCACTCCTTTAGCATTGTAGACCAACATGAGCAGTGGAATTAATTGTTTTTTCCTGGTTTTGTGCACAACAAGTAGAATTGTCTATGAATGTCTAATCAACGCAAAAATATTTTGTTGTTATAACTATGTCTGGTTTGTCTTGTAAAAAATCCTGCTCCTGGCAGACATATGTGGACTTGCAAAAGCCCTGATACAGCTAGAGCAGTACTGGCAGTCTAACCCTCTTGACATCCTATTTCATTTTTAGGCCCCTTTGGCCATTGAAAGTTTTCTCTGCCCATTAATAGTTTGCTGGAACAACGTATTTTGGGTATAGAAAAGTCCTAAATTCCAGTGGAAACAATGTAACTGAAGGCCTAATTTTGATATTTGAAACATTTAATACTGGACCAGCAAGAAGAGTCCTAGTGCAATTTTAAATTACAGAATAGTTTTGCAGGGTAGATAATTCACAAGCTCAAACATTTTAAGGGTTTGGTTTAGAAGGGTTGAATTCAATTAAACACCCACAAACTTGGTGTTCGACTGAATTTTAACCAGCATTGTCTTAAATTGTAACTTAACCAAAAGTACTCCTTAGCATAAACACAGCCATATGGAGAATTTTTTCTCTTCCTGTATTTTACACTTCGTGTTTGCGTTAACTAACACATAATGGAGCCACTATTGGAAATAGATGGGGGAGTTGTTCCCACCATGTATTTTGGGGTGTCTAACTTTGGGTACATAGATCAGAGTCTGAATTCTTTCAGGCTGGAGCCAAACTTAGGTATTCTGCACTGTGTTCCCCCTCCCCAGAGGCACCTACTTTGACCCTCTGCAGCAGGATCTGGTGAAGTACATAGTGTGAACGATTCCCTGCTATTTCTAGCAGTGATTCTGTCAGATGTTAACTAGTCACAAATAGCTTTGTGTCAAAGCACATGTAGTGCACTTACTAACTCATCCACTGGTGTTGCTTTGCTCTCCTCTAGGGTAGGCTCCAGCTAACATACCCACGCTTAAATCCTGACCCTGGAAGCTTCTGTATGGTTCTTCTGTGCCATCTGGATCTTGTGATCTGCAGTATGGGTGTAATACTCTCAGCATATTGAATACAGTGGGATCTATATTCACCAATTAACTATTCTAGTATGTGTATGAGGTGTACTGAAAGGTGATGGGGAACAGGGGAAGAAAAAAGGTATCCCATCAGTATACGAAGGAAGTCATACTCCTTTCAGCTTTGAATGTTTTTTTTTAATTTCAGGACATGTTCACTGTTACACAAATAACGACCATATATAACAATATTCGTGTTCAACCTGATTAATTTGTGTGCTTTTAATCTTTTACTTTGAGTGTTGTAGTTCACCAAACTATTTAATGTTGTTGTACTGTGATGTATATGCTGACATCCCAGTACTCAGTTGTCCATAGCAATTGTTGCAGTAATACTGTATGTAGTAATAGTTTTAGAGCAGCTCATATAGTATAATTCATCAGACAATTATTCTGTGTCTCTTAAGATTTTTAGTCAGTTAAGTAGTAAGTATTACAAAATTAGTCTTAATACACGACTCATAAACATTCAAAGGTGAATACATGGGGGTTTGGGCTTACAAATGTAAAATGTCAGCAAAGAAAATAAATAATACAACTTCAGTAGGTTAGACCATGGCATAATTAATGAAATAATATTCAACCCTCATTGAAAGAAAACAGTGAAATGGCAAGGCCGCTTGGAGCAGATTCAGTTTACTGAGGTAAAAAACAAAAAAAAACAAACCAAACAAAAACAAAACTTTTATTCCTGTAACTTTTTTTTGTGACAGTTAAAAGGCCTGTGTCCTACTCAAAACCAGATTTACAAAGTGGTTCTAAACTATCCATACACAATAACTGTAGCCTCTGTGGCTAACCTCTGTTTGTGCTGCCTTGGCACGCTTTGATGCTGTCCAGTGGTGTCAGTAGCTCTCCTGTAACTTACACGTAACAGCGTGAGTTCAGGTTGCTGCATGTTTGGTAGTGATTGCACCAGCCACCCCGTGGTCTGTACTTCAGTGGGAACCTTCGTCTATGTGTCATACCTAAGTGCGCATTTCAAAGTGGACTTCTGCTGTTGCATTGGTTAATAGTTTTGCAGAAATGCACTGCACTGCTTAGAAGGAGAGAGTACATTGAAGTAGAAGGAAATAACATCTTAACTTGACTAGCAACCTGCTAAAGTATGTCTTTTTGTCTGCTCTTGATCACCTGTCTGTCCCTTTCTACCCTTTCTCCAGTGTTAAATGGGATAACCAATGACTTGAACCCTAGCAACCCTCGAAGCATGAATAAATAATTTTATTTTTTATTGCATAAATTTTGTCCCATGTCAGAAGATTTTTTTTTTGTTCAATTTCAAAAGAAAATTGTCCAGGACTTAGCAATGAGAATTTAAGGAGATTCTAAACTTAAGAAGTTATCAAGAGAAAATGTGGACCAGTTTATTCAACTAATGTTGAATTATACTTGACTGCTTTGCAGCCACATTTTCAAGACCTGTGTAAGCTGGTTTGGAACATCTGTTACACTGACTTAAAACTGGAAGCCTTATCAACAGCATGGCTGAAACTTTTCCAGTCTTCAAGTCTTAGTTGCCTACGAAAAAACCTCTGTGTTTGATTATGTATTGAATCCAGTAGAAATCAGATGTGGATGGCCATTGACAGTTTTTTTCCAATACAGACTAGTGTTTTTTAAAAGCTTTTTATTGGGGAGGGAAGAGGAGGAAAGTCAGAGGGCTGTTTAACTTAAATTCCAGTTACTAGAACTCATTTAAGGAACAAGAACACCTCTACTAGTGTTTGAAGACTAGAGGGGGAAAAAAAAGACCCAGGAATAAATAAATCTCAGATATTTAACCAGAATCACCAGAATCTTCGTAATTGTGATGTGTATTCACCCTTGTCAATAGTAGCTACTGGTAGTTTCATATGCTGATTTCTACATGAATATTACAACCTGTAGCTGCCAAAACACTTTTCTGATATCAAAAGCCTCAGTGTCTCAGATCCAGAAGTCCCACTTGAGCATGCAGTTGAAAGAGTAAAACATACAAACCATTCCCTATGCATAAAACTGAGAAGATTAAAATGTATTTTGGACAAACTGGTCAAGGAGGGGCAGCTGATTTAGAGTAGGATCACTTCCCCAATTCATTTTGCTGCACAACCTGCAAACAATTGTGCCAGCAAAAAAAAAAGACAGGGGTTTTGTGTTGTACATTAATGGTCACTGGGTAAAGTACAACTGTTGTCCAGGTTCTGTTACGCACAGTAACATAAATCATTTCTCACTTCTGTGCTGCTGCCTTTACTCTCGACTTAGAAAGTACGAGGAGAGACCATCAGATCAGCGTAAAGCCACAGCAGGTAGTTGTCCCCTTTGATGAAACTACTGGAAATGTAGATGGACACTGCACGTTTGACTGCTTGGTCTTTAGAAATGTTTAAATCATGATTGCGGCAGAATGAAAAGTGAGCAGTGGTCTGAACAAAGCGTGACCTATACCTTCAAAACCAGGACACAGTGAAGTACAGTTGTCTGTACATTGGCTGTGTTCTGAGCTGTTCGATCAGGAAAATTAATTTCCCTTTCATGTGCATCTGACCTGCAGAGCATTGGTATCAACTTCATAACTGAACACCAACCTCCTTAAATCAGGTTAGGGATTTAATTAACAGTGCCACCATCTCTCTTCTGGAAATAAGTGTGACTGTTATTTGCTATTTCCTGTTCTTCTTCAGGGCGTTTGATGTGGAACTTCTTTATATAGCTCAGCGCTTGAGAATACCTATAGCAGAAGTTGCTGTCAACTGGACTGAAATTGAAGGTAGGGAAATTGTTCGTATTCTTGTAAGATTCCTTACATGTCAATCCAGAATAAAATATCTGAGGGTCTTCCCATATTTTACCTAGTTTTGAGAACACACAGCCTTCTTTCCATATAAGTTTTGAAGTTCGTGTCCTTGCCAGTCTTCTGCCATGGCACGGTGCAGGAAGGGTAGGTGAAGAGGTAGCAATGGAGAGAAGCTCTGCATTCCCACTGGAGACAGAAGTAGGTAGTTACACTGCTAGGACACAGCACTGCTTTGGCATGTCCTCTAGCTGTGATGTCTTAATGAAAACATTGTAATCATAAAACACCGTGCAGGAAGTCTGGACATCATTGTTTATTGATTCAACACCGTTTCACAGCCCACCTATTAAGGTCTCCTCTAGGGCACCCTCTCTTCTTAAGGTGTGATGTTCTTTCAGACCTGTAGGGAGGTCTCTATTATTGGGTTACTGGAAAGTATAGCTCTATACGTATTTCTTCATAGTACAGCCAGCTTAAAAGATACTGTTTGCTTCTGCTTACTTCCTCCCTCCCATCAAATGCAGTTCCTTCTTTTTTACCTTTTCATGTTTTTTTCTTTTTTTAATCTGAATCTCTTTTCCTCAACACAACCCCCGAACAACAGGAAATATAGTGAACTGCAATGGTGATGAAGGGTGCAAATTGAGAATGTTCTAAGCCAGCTTTACTAGAAAATAAATGTTTTTCTTTCAGTTCAGTTCCGCATGTATATTGCACCTAACCGAAATGTTAGCAGAGATGGAAGAGGGCTTCGTTTCATAGTATGGGTTCTTTATCTTGCCTTAAAATTGGCACATTCATATTACTGCTGTAAGACAGTGTGGTGATCCTCTTCTCCAAAGATGCTGAGAAATCATTTGCATTGTTATTGGCGTTCAGGTTCCTACTTACTTAGACAAAGCCTTGTTGCATAGGAGAACATGCATTTTTTGTTATACCTGGAATTACTGTGCTGCTTGCAAACTAGAATCTCCCACCTATGGTATAATGTAATTCCTACAAAGCAACAACTTTCACAGTATAAATCTTTATTAACGTTAAGGTATAGGTTGTGGGGCTGAATGTGCTGAGAATGCAAAGGTTCATGACTACTTAAATGTGTGTCTTGCCAATGCTCATTTTTTCTAACAGCATCCTTCTGATTTTCCTCTTCACTGATCACAGGTTCTAAATTAGTTCCCTTTTGGAGCTGGCTGCAGATGGGCAGGGATCTTCTTTTTATACGACTGCGATATATGACTGGTGCCTGGCAGCTTGAAACAAGAAAATGTAATTAGGTTATTTACATTTTCCAAATATATTATTATACTTAATGGAACATGAGAACAGCTTCAATCAAGTGAAGTGGTGATGAAAGCTGAGGTAACTCTTCATTGCTCCTGTTGTATGTTTCATTTTTGCAGCATGTATGTGTTTTATAAGATTGTCAGCAGGGAATTTGTACAATGTTTTGAAAAGAGAAAGCATTTCCGGAAAGATTTTCTTATCTGGTAATCAGGTTTTTATTTTATTAAATAGTAGCTCTAACATTCACTCAAATAAATATATCTGCTTTTGTCTCATCATACATTTGGAATTTCCTTACACATATTAAAAAGAGGCACTCTATTCTACATTGTGCAATACTGTTGTAAATGACCACAACCGTTTGCTTCTGTAATATCTGGAAATATATGGCCACATTGCAACTTAGAATTATCAGTCATGGTTCATACTGGTGCATATTCAATGTTATGGGAAACATTAGTAGATTTTACTGAGTTATAACAGCAATATTCATAAGGCTGTTCTAAGAAATTTCAGTAATCTCTTGACATTCCAGATGTTTTTGTCTGAAGCTGAAATTGTTTGAGATCAAACTGCATGTCGTCTCCAGACTATAGAAGGTCCAAGAGAAAGCACATTTAATTTTTAAATGTTGTACTTTATGTTTTGTTCATATGTACTAATTAATACTGCATGCTCAAGGCTAGGTGTCCTTGGCATCTACAAATCTGTAGTGAAAAAAGTACGGAAAGCTAATTCAGAGAATACAAAAATGAGACCAAAGTACACTGGGGGCCTGTGCATTAGCAATGCCAATCTGATGTTGTCAAACTTCAGATGAGATCAGAGAGGGAGGGAGGGGCCTGGAGTCTTTCTTAGTAATGTCATACTCTGTTAACAGTACACAAGTTCCTGTAATGTTTTCAAAACAGTTGTGGATTGCCAACAAACTACGCCAATCTGTCTTTCGGAATCATGTACAAATTTGAACAGACTTAAAGAATGAATGGTATATGGCTGTATTTTCACATATGATTTCACTGGTGATTTTTCTTACTCCTTCTGCGATATAAGTTGGGGTTTGTTCCTGTTAGGGTTACCTCAGTTTTCTATACATTGAAGTGTTGAAATAAATTCTCAAAAAGTATCTTCAGTTTGATTTCACAGGCTTTATTCTCTTGCCTAGTTCATGTACATCTCTATTGATTCTGCAGTCAATCACATGACTCCTCCTTGCCATTGCTAAAATAAAATATCAGCTTCTCAGTTTCTATAAAGTGAATTTCCCCGATCAAACCTGGACAATTATAGATCTGCCTATAATTAAAGTTGCCAACCAGTTCTCAAAAGCAAATTCCTAAAATTTTCCTCATGTCTTACCTTAAAATTGAGCTTATTTGAAATTTTAACCAAAATAATTCACCTTTTTCAAATTATGAGGCTTAGGTCACGCAATATTTTCTGCTTGATAAGTAAACATCTGATGACATCTGCTTTAAAAAAATTCTGCTTTGAATTGGATGCCAGAGATTTGAAGCAGCATGCTAAATTTATTTTTTTTAATTGTGCATTTTCTATAGAGTCTTTTCAAAACTCTGCAGATAAACTCTTCAGTAACTCTCTCCTTATTGAGCAGTCTCCTTTAGCAACTGTGTGTATGTCAGTCCAACAAAATACTTGATATCTTCCATCTCAAAGATGCAGAAGTAAAACTAGATTTACCATCTCTGAGCTTTGTGGGGTTGAATGCTAGAACTTGGTGGCAGGGAATTCTCTTATGCTTTCAGTGGATTTGAGCCATGGTTAAAGGTCCCTGCACACCTTCATAGTCCAGAGTCTGAGGTTGATTAGACATGGCACTGGTCACATCCATGTGCCTACATCTCCCTTTTAGCTGCCTTTCAAAGCAGGCTTGCTGCATCTGAATGGTCTGCTGGAGATAGTCCTTGACCTGCACTGACTGCCACACTGTGCCCGAAAATATTTTGAGAGCAGGGATAGACAGCTGTGGGATACCTGGCACAGTGTAGTTTACTTGTGTAGGTGTAGCCTAACACATTCTGTTGCGTTGGAGAGAAAAGCTGAACTGGGATGGAAAAAAAAAAAAAAAAAAGGAGTAAACTGGGACAGAATGAGAATGGGGAGAAGCAGAAAAGGAGACTGCTCCAGGGCTGAGATTGAAAGCCAGAGAGTGAAGTGGAAGATGGGAAGTACTGAGACTGCATGAGGAATGGGGGTGGAACAGCAATGGACTCAGTAAAGAGACTGAAACAAGGCAATGGGGAAGGAGACAGATCAGTTAAGGATGGAAAAAAGGAGACGTTGCTGCTGGGAGAAGGGGAAGCCGGAGGGCCTTACTAAGCCAAGTCCTCCACAAGAATAGGGTTAGAACAGAAATTGTCTAAAACAGGTTGGGACTGTTTTAGACGCAGAGTGATATTCAGTCTGGGCTGGAACCCAGGATCCCTTTTCAGTGTTTCGCAGCCGTTATTTAACCTCTACAGAATCCTTTGGCAAATCATATCTCATCTTCTTCCTGTGCCGGTTCATAATGAGAGTAACTGGCTGCGGGTATCAGTTATTCTTCCAGCTCTGGTCACTGAAATCTGCAGTAGATCTACAGGCTCCAGTGCTGAACTGCATGAAGGAGCAATGAAATCTTTCAGATAGATATGGGAGATGATACAAACCATGTGTCAGTGAAAGTTAACTTTTCAGAGTTAGAAAGCCAGGTATGAAGAACATAAGAAACAAAAGTAGCCTTTCTGACTCATTCTCACATTGTGTGTATATGCTGTGAGAGGCCATACTTGCTTATTAAGGACTACTTTTCCTAAAAGACATACTTCTAGTGCACGAGACTTAAGGAATTGGGAAGTTGTATGGCAAAGGCAACTGGACTGATTTGCCTTCTGTTTAGAACATGGAAGTTTGGATAGAGTATAGATGAGACAAAGGATAAAGAGAAGCGGTATATTCTCCTTTATCGGATAAAGTTAAAATAAGGCAGACATCTGGTGCTTTTGCCTCTTGCCCAAATCATCAACACATTCAAAGAGGGGGTTAGAGGTAAAGATTCAGTTCCCCTATTGTTCAAGCCCACATCTTTCCGACCTCAAGTCTGGAACAGTTACCTGCACTTGTTGAATGAACTCCTTCAAACTTTCTCTGAAGCAGAAGCAGCAGAGGAGACTTACCTGAGCTGATCAGGATGGTTGGCTTTGCCTTCTGTTACTCATGTGGTGATCAGAAGTTTTCTGGGTAGCATAATCAACTCCTATGTGCATACTATAAAATACAGGACACACAGGCTGTCACAGGAGACCAGAACTCCACCAGGCACGTGCTCTAACAGAAGTTGAGACTTGTGCTTGGTTTTAGGTTTTTGCTAACAGTCAGTTATCAGCATTCCTGTAAACGTGTGCTGAGCAGGTACATGTAAACATCACACTCTTGAAGCAAAGGTGCACCTGTTCTGTGGATCCCAACAAGAAGCAAATAAAAGATTAGCAAAATGTGGCTTTTCACTGTCAAAACTAAAGTGCGTAAGAGCCTGTCCCTAGTGAAATTTAGTACACCTGAGAAATTTCAAAAGATTTTAAAGTCCATGGTTTTTACATGTCTTCAGGTCAGGCCGCAGCAGAGTGAGGTTTCTGAACACTGACAAATTTTAGTTTTGGGTCAGAGGTCCCAGTTTTGTCTTAAGCCCTCTATCAACATGTAGGTCAACATTAACTCAATCCAAATATTTAGTGAATACAGAGAAAAAGGAAGCACAATAACAAGTATGCACCGAAAGCTAGTAAGAAAATGTGAAGGATGATCAGATATTTTGAAAAGCAGCTATGCAATGGCTATGAATTATTTAAATAAGAGATGACCACATGGCAGAGACCTCAAATGACAGTATTAATTACATAAGCAGCAGTTTCTGACACCAAAATATTTTACACTAATCTAAGAGTTTTATAGAAATGTCAGAGGCAGAGTGATGAGAAACATAACTCATTTAGAATTGCCAGAAATCAGATCCTTTAAAAGAACACATCTAACAGAAATCAGAGATGCCCTGTTTTTGTATGAAATACATATCCTAAGTCATTCACATTCTGATCTTCCCCAACCTATTACCTTAAAAGGAAGAGTTAGCTGGTTTTGTTAAATCCATAAATTTGTAGATACTTACTCAGTTTCGTTTATTTCCAAGTTTATTTAATTTATTACCATTATTTTCCTGTGTAGCTATCTGAACAAATAGGAAGTTTGTAATCACGTATCTTGATTTTCCCATTAAGATCACGTCATGTGACAGAGGTTTTGGACCAGAGCCAATATGTGACTTCAGAAGTTAAGCATCAGGTTCCCAGGTGCCTACATTTAAGGTTATTGGAATCCAGAATCCTGAATGAGGCACCTTTTACCTGCATGAAATACTACATGTCCTAGGCCAACCTGCTGGCTTGAGTCAAAGTTGTCTAATATCAGCCTGTTCAGCATGTGGGGAGATCCCTTGTCTGCTCATTGCACAGCCCAGAACCCTTTTCCTTGGGTAGGAAGGAGTAGAAGCCTTTCAGAAAACAGGTCTGAGCTTTCCCTTACTAGTCTACCAATTCATATCTAAGAAACGGGAGACCAAGAGTAGATTCTCACACTGGAGGGAGATCAAACCCATATGTTCCACGGGTTGTTCTCTTTGTGTTGTATTTAAGCTGTTCCACTGTGCACTGATGTGCATAAAGACCAATAGTGAAACGTAACTTCACCTCATTTGCCATGGAACTTACCCAAGGGTGAGGAAGACTTGGGTTCCAGCCCTTCTCTTTAGGGTATTTACTGTCTGCTTATTTCCAGTTCATACTTAGGATAACAGGTGATAGATTTCTTGAGAGCACTGCCCTCCGTGCTCCTTCTGGCCTGACACAGCTGTTGCACCACGATCCCAGAATCAGTGGAAGATTCTCCTAGGTACCATTTCAGAAGCAACTGTGCTGGTTTAGTTGCAGAAAGCCATAAAGAGGAGTGTTTCTGCTCCTTCTGTCCCTGTTCTGGGGCTGCTTGGAGTCTCCCTCAAGCCAGTTCAGCTAACTAGAATGGCAGGATGCCATCTTCCATTTGTTTGGTTTTTTTTTTTTCCTTTCTTTTCTTCTGAGGTAATTTTCTGCTATTTCAATGATTTAAAATGACTCGCTGAGTGGCCCAACAGGCACAGGGTGCAGCAGCAGCAGGAGGACTTCCCCTTTTGACAGCTGTGAACTCACCACAAGCTTAAAGAATGACTTGTCACCTGGAGGCTAGGACACTTTTCTAAGGTAGGGAATGTGAATTTGAATTCCTCCTTTCTTAGGCCTAGACAAGATCCGAGGTCTTGTTGCCCTCTCAAAATGAGACCTTTAGTTACAGAGCTCCAGCAAGAAAGTCCTGGCTCCATCCCTTGATGTATTCCAGAGCCCCCCACTTGATTTTATGGAGCGCCACAACGTGGAATGGGAGGCTTGGGTGGAACACTTCCCAGATGTTGCTACTAGGAGAAAGGCTGATTGATTCACCTTTGAAGCAGTCCTGTTTAATTGCAGAGGCTGTATAGAGAACCAAGTTGCTCTGAGCATGTGTAGACAACTTCCCTGATCACAAAGGCTGTCATTCAAACCAGTGCTCTGTCTAACTTGTCCTCACTCTTCTCTTACAGACTTGCAATGATAAAAAAGGTCTCGCTTGTATTTCAGTGGAATCTTAACCTTTACTGTTTCCTCCTACCCTTGCATTTGCAGGTGTAACCCGTGGAGATGCAAGTCTTCTAGATTGCTCACTGTCCTGCATGATCCAGCCCTCTAAATACACATCAAAACAAAGTAATCTCACAGGCTTTGAAAAGGAAATAAAAACAAATAGAGAAGATCTACACGGCAATCCTGCAATGCTTACCAACACCAATGCCTGCATAGTTAGTGCTTTCAAAAATACAGATTTAAATTTAAAAAAAAAAAAAATTTATATCTCTCCATAAAAAACTTCTTTTTCTGCAACACTTTACTAACACTTCATAAGAGACTTTTTCAATAGGCTACGTAACATTAGAGTTCTCTTTGAAAAACACTGGCAAAAAAACAAGCTACTGAAAAAGGTTCAGTAGTTTACACAAGTTTTCTTCACTGTTACCATTTCTTATCACAAGCTGAAGCAATAGCAATGCAAAATCCCCTGATACACACTTAGCTTTTATACTTACAAGCCATTTTTCACATATGAATTAGAAAAAAACAGTGAAGATTCTCTCTTTCTACCCTCAGGTGTGTCCTGCCGATGAGCAGTGTGTTTTCTGTGACAACTCTAGGAGTTAAGTTAGTATTCCTAACTGTTTTCAGTGACACTGCAGCATTATCCCAAAGCAGGGTAACTCTTCAATGAGTAATAACACAGCTTTCATCAGTCTCAATCTATACAAAAGTACTCGGAGATCACTACTATGAAGTAGCAGCAGCCAGACACAGACGACAGCTCCAGTTCATTCTGCAGAATTGTGTTCAGTAACACATCAGTTTACAAGTCTCAGAGCCTCTGTGCAGACCCTTCCACCACCACCAATGCAGAAGAGTCCAGGGTAGTTTTTCACCATGGGAAATGAAATTGTATTATTATATGTAAGCACAGCAACATCTCCCAGCCATTGAATAGTCTCAGCCAGTATTTAACTTGAATCCTCTGCTAACATTGAAGGCTCTGGAGACCTATCCATAATTATTTATGTACCTATTGTACAAGTGTTCCTTGAGTTCACAGTCAAATGCTGACTGCAAACTAAAAATAGTCGAAATGAAGAGACAGGCAAAGACAGAAGGCTGCAATGAAGTTTCTGTATCTCAGTGTTTATTACTTAAAATAACATCTAACCTTATTTATGATCCATGTATGTTTCTTAGGGATGCAGTGGCATGTCTGTTATAGCTCAAGGGGCATGAATTAAAGTAGTGTTCCAGTACTGTTGAAGGCTGCACCCTGCCAGCTGAACCGTAAGTTATCTACCTCTTTGAGACAGGGATTCAGAGGTTAAGAATTGGATGCTACTATGTCGTGCCTATTGTGTTAGCCAACAGCACATAAGGGAGTCTCGAGCTCACTAGCCCAAGGGGTCATCTAGGCTCAGGGGAGAAACTACAGACAAACCTTTGTTTCTTACTGGAAAAAGAGATGATATTTTTATATGACCACGCTTAAGTAATAGTTGTGAGATCATAGCTGAGAGGGGTGTGCTAGAATATGATTTCATTTAATAGATCCATCAGAAAAGAGCTAACTAGCCTCCATTTTCCTGGGTGTTTTTTAATTCATTTATACCATTCATCAATCTGTTCAACTGCCCTAACTGCATAATTAGATATTTTCATGATGTAAAAAAAAAAAAAAAAAAAACCAAACTCAAAACTTTTCCAGTCCTGCTTTCTGGGCACAGTCTTCCAAATACCAGTACACTTTTGCAGGTAACAGTGAATCAGTCTGCAAGCTGTCTGTCTATCTGCCAGATTCTTGTACTACAGACATACACACACAGAGCCTTAATATGTGCACATCAGTGCAAAGGGTATATCTTTTTTTGCTAAAGCAATGTTCTCCTTGTCTCACTTGCTGCAGGAGGTGGTGAATCCTTGCTGATTGTGGAAGCCACTGGTAATAGCACTCCACACCTGACAAAGGCAGGATACCCATCAGCGTCCAGGTCAGCAGTAGCTCTCCAAGGCACTGTAAATGCATGACTGCACTTACTAGAAATAATCTGATTTGTTTGAGGTAGACAGGCCCAGGGGCAGTGCTTCCAACTTCTCTTGAGGAAAGCCGTGCTAGCAGGGGGTACTCTTCAGACTTCCTGCAGCTCCCAGGTGTTGCATTAAGGCCTCCTAATTCTCGTACCTTTTCTAAGGACACTGTCTACCATCAGTGAGTGGCGTTCAGTCATAATCCCTCTAACAGGCTGTGGGTGGTTAACCTTTGTCTACCTTTACCACACTTCCCAACACTCCCATGAAAGCAGCAAATTATATACATAACTTATACTCACAGTCTCTTTCTGCATGTATACTTAATATTTAAGGAACAGCTGCAGACCAGATAAACATCCTCCCAAAATGGCTTAGCCACAGGTGATCACTCTTACCTACATGACCTTAACTCCCTCTCAGGTCCATGCCTTTGCATCAGTCAGGCTCTACCTTCCTGGAGTCTTCATGTTCTGCTATCAAGATCCCTTTCCTCCTTTGAACTTTCAGCAATTTATTGTTTTAGCAGAATGAACTTCAGTATCTACACTGAATTCAAGCCTTTATCACTGGCATGATCTATACAATATACTTTAAGAATGAGGTGACATTAACTCTGGAATTCCCATCTGTTTTTTGCCATGTTCTAATGTTTCATCTGGGGTTATTCTGAAGCTGTATAAAGATCCTGTTACAAAACAAAGGGAAATATTGAGTGTCAGCTTTTGGACTGGAGATCAGAAGAGCTGTTTGAACCACAGGATGATGAAGAATCATTGAGTTCTGCAAACAGTTTTGGCAAATTCACTTTGCATGGTCTCTGGAAAGCAGCCTTCCACATGTGGGACAAATCTGTATCTTCCTATCTTTGTAGAGTTGAGAAAGGCTTAGCTAATTATGTCAAGAACAGGCTTCATCCTGTAGCCACATTACAACCCCAGTTGCACAGGCTGCCATAAACTACCTCTCTGCGTACTCTCAATCATCTGCTGTCAAACTAGGAACTAGGTCAAAACCACAAGGAATTTCTAACTCTTTCTGGCTGACTAGGTCTGATGCCATTTAAGGTCTCAGCAACAGAACTGATGATAACTTTTGTATCCTGTTGCCAAAAAAAACAAAAAACCAAAACCATATCCATGGCCATCTTCCAGTCTTTAAGCCAAGTCATAAGTTTTGGAAATGGTAATCAACTGTGTCAGCTCTTCCTTTGGTAGTTTTACAAGTCTGGCTAGACTCTGCCTGGTAGAAGGTTTTGTGATAATGAAAGCTTAAGCACAGATGAGGTTACAACAACCTTTACTGTACTTTTTAATTGAATGATAAAATTCTGGTGTCACAAAAATGTTTTTTCACATTATGTTTAATTTTACTATTCTTGACAATTGATTTTCTCAATGAAGTGCTTTCATAAGAACAGGAACAGAAGGAAAATAAACAGTTTTCTGCTGGAGTAATGCAAAAGGACTACAAGAAAGACCAATTATTCTCGTAAAGGAGACAGCAAGTAATTTCATTCCAGTATCTGCTAGAAAGCTAGAAAAAAAAAAGAATGGATGCCTGCTCTGCTGGGTTTCTGTGGCATGGTTTTCGGTAGTGGGGGAGGGGACTACAGCAGTGGCCCCTGTGAGAAGCTTCTTGAAAACTCGCCCGGCTCCAAGTCAGACCCGGCCCTGGCCAGGGCTAAGCCCATCAGCTGCGCCTCTGCGATAACATATTTAATAAGAGAACTGGGACAGGTTTGGGACTAGTGAGGAGGAGTTGGGAGAAGGATAAACACCCAGGTCAGCAGAAGGAAGGAGAAGGACGTGAGGGAGGTGTGCCAGAGCAGAGATGCCTGTATCCTGTGGGGAGATGGCAGGGCTGCCCACTCTGCCACCCGTGGAGGTCCGTGGTGGAGTAAGGGACGACCTGAAGCCTGAGGAGAAAGCCGCTCCAGGGCAGGCGTCTGCGCTTAAAGTAGGCCGGGACTCTGAGGGGAGAAGCAGCCCCCACTGTTGTGGTTCAGCAATGGGAGGACTGGAACACGCCAGGGGGACCCACGCTGGAGCAGCCTGGGACAGCTGTGGCCCGTGGGGAGGACTCACACCAGAGAAGGTTCGTGGGGGACTGTTTGAAGTGAGAGGGGAGCCATGAGGAACAGGAGAAGAATGTGCGGCGTTCAGTCCACCTCCCGAGAAGGAAGGAGAGGGGAGCTGGCTGTGACCCCCATCCCCTGCCCCTGCGCTGCTGGGGGAGGAGGGGGAGAGATGGGGAGCAGAGCTGATCCCGGGGAGAAGGGAGGGGAAGGTATTTTTTGGATGTAGTGGCCCTTCTCACTGTCCCTACCTTGTCTGTTAAGTTTTGTCTTTGTTAGCATTTGAATTAAAGTGATGTTTTCTTTTTTCTTCCCCTAAAGAGTCTGTCTTTTGCCTGTGACCATAATGGGTGAGCTACTCCTCCCAGTCCTTTAATGGTCATATTCTCCACCCCATCTCTGATGGGGAAAGAGGAGTGGGCAGCTGCATGGTGCTCAGTTGCCTTCCTGGCCTAAACCACAACAACTGCACAAGAACATAGTAGATTTAAGCAATTTCTGTCCTAAGCCTCACGCTAACCAAGGAAGAGCTGACTTTATATCCTGGATGTTGCCTTCTCCAGACAATAGAAGAGGCTCATGGTAAAATCCCAAATAGAGGGTCACTGCTCAGGGACCCTATAAATTAATTATACCTGAACAATCATTCAAAGGCGGGAGAATGTGGTCGCATCTTACACTGAGAAGACTGGAAAGAAAAACCAGTGCAAGGCCCACTCCATTCCTGGAAACCATGGATGCTCTGCCTCCAATACTGAAACAGTTTTGGAAAAAGTAGCGAGGGAAAGTAGCAAGATCTTGTTCTGTGTACCCTCCCCCACCATGAAGGAATTTCAGGAGTGGCTTGAACAGACCTGCATGTTTAAGAGAATCTAATTTTACATGTCCTGATTTCTCTGGGTTGTAAAATAATAAAGCATTCTTTCTATTCCTGGCTACTTCTGATTTACCCAAGATTATACAGTACATCATTCTGGCCCTAATCTGGAAGATGGGCATGATAATTTATTTACCCTCAAAAAACCTCTACTGAATTTTCCAGTGGTAGGGCAAGAGATTTTAATATATTAGAATAGAAACTCCTTGCTGTGAACAGCAAACATTCACAGGGAGGTATGAAGTGATTTTGTTGATTAGTTAGGACCCCAATTACCCTGCCTGCAGGCTGCACTAAAAATCCTGAGGTTTTAGCTCATTTCCTCCTAAGATGTTTCTATTAATGTAAGCATTATGCATATAGCTCTCTAGGTGTGCAGTCAACACCAAGCAATTACATTCCCTGCTTTAAAGAACTTTTATTATGCACTTTGGGGAGAATACCATCTTTGCTACTAAGTGCAAAACTAATGAATAATATAGTTGCACAAGTTTGAGCAATGTGCAAGAGCTTTTATTTTTCCATCAGGCAAGATGTTTGGGGAAAACATTTGCAGAGTGGTCATTCATAAAGCCACTACTGCACTCAATCAGATATTTAAGAATTAGGAAAAGTCATCAGGCATGTAGGTTGCTAGTCTCAGCTATGCCTAGATAATAATTTACAATGACCTCACATTCCTAGCTCTGCAAAAGGTTCATTCTTTCCATGCTTCTGCTGCAGACTTGTCAACATTTTGCCCCTAATTTAATCTGCATTTATATTTACTCACAGTTGAATCCCATACAGTCCTTCTAGATAGGACTGTGTCCTGTATAGATTAATACTTCATTCTCAAAGAGGATGGATCAAAGTGAGCAATGCACCTAAGATGGCTGTTGCCTTTGTAGACAGTAAGACAATAAAGAACTTCAAAATAAATTGGCTCACATTTCCCAGGAATTTGCTTAACACGGCAAAAAATCTTCTAGGAAACATTTACTAGATGCAAAGTCAGTGGCAAACACTGTCTTTCATATCTGAGAGATAATGTAATTAAAATATGTATATATATATTTGTCATTTTGCTAAGATGCAAACCTGATCTCAGAATGCTATATGGCAACACACAACTTGTGTTTGATAAGTGCTGCTAGGTCAGAGGGAACAGACTTTCATGTAGAAAAAGGGTTTGCAGCATAGAAGTTGCACACAAGACACTCACCGAATGCCAGAACAGAGATACAACATGGTAGTGCTACCAGTATTTTGTTTTCTATCATAAGGCATTGTACATGCACACAGTATTTCAAATATAGATGTCAT